TAAAATTTTAGTGGGAAGATTTTCCTCATCTGATTCACAGTCCAGGTGGGCACACATAAGGTTCCCTATCATTCATCTGTAATAGAAACTATTATTTTTCTAGCCTATGTATTCAACAAAATTACAGTACTTTATAGGTCTCAGCTTTATGCATGTGTACATGGGGGCTGATATCCAACTCCCCAACTTAAGCTGGCCCCAAATATTACCTCCCATCTCCATATCTCTATCCTACTGTGGATATTCAAGCTTGAACTACTTAGTTACAATTATAACACATCCCAATCCTCACCAAGTTAGGTGAGGCTCAGGAACATGTCAAGCTCTCTGCTCCAGTGTTTAGGTCCTGCTTCATTTTGAGTTCTAGGGTTTTCTCTAATCTTGTAATTTCAGCTGTTAAACATTGAAAAAAAAGGTGTGTTTTATTTTATTGGGTATTTGTGGCTGTTATTTGTGGCTGTTTTGAAGTAGAAGTGTTTTGAAATAGTGGAATCTACCCTAGTGCTTTGCAAGAAAATCTATCTTTATTTTCCTCTTTATACTTTAGTCCCTAGTGCTCAACTGTATTAAGTTTCTGTACCATGGGGTCAGCAGTTGGTGTGGTGGTTAGGGTGCTGGACTCCCATATGTTGAGCCACAGTTCAAGTCCTGGACCTGGTGGCTAGAGAATCAAGCTGGGCACGTGTGCATGCTTGCCCAAAATCCCAGGAGGAGAATGGAGAAGGAATTGCAGCATAACTATCTAACCTGGGAAGTGATTTCTCACTTTTCATTAAAAAAAAAAAAATTAGAAAGAAAAAAAGTTTGTTTGTACCAAATGTCTTACGGGAGTAATAAGAAAATCAATGTTCAAAGCACTTAATAAACAAAAAAAATTTCACTGAAATAGGTGCTAAATAATAAAGATAAATTACATGTTTTATTAAAAATAACATATACCTTTTAAATTAAGGAAAGATACTTCAATTATTCTTACCTCTGAATTTATAACTTTAATCAGGAAGAAAATGTGATATACCGTCTTTGTTAACAAAGAAAGTTGACGACACCTCTCCAGATACGCTTGTATAGATGGTTGTACCCTTTGCTGAAGTTTACTCCAAAAAAGAGTGAGTTCCCTTAAAAATAAATTTTTAAAGATAAGTTGAAGCAGCAATGTAATAATCATGGATCACGTCAGTCTAGTCATTACATCTGAAATCATACTGATTTTAAATTCCAAGTCTACATGTGAATTAAGTTTAAATGAGAGAAAATGGATACTGAATTTCTAAAGATCAAATAAAACCAGGATATGATTTATCATTAAATTAATATTATTCAATCTCAGAGAAGTTTACTTTTAACTAGGAAAGCACTTCACATCTAAAACACTCACACAAATGGTAACTTTGAGCCACATCTAAATTTTAACTATATAATAAGAAAATGCAAGATATGTTTATGAGTGTGCGTAAAAAAAACATCAATGGCATAATGATTCTTAAAAAGCATTGCTCTTTTATATTCTAGTTTAAATTTAAAATCAACCAATAAGGTTATTAGTGTTAAATAATGGTGACACAGAACTCAGAATAAACCGATCAGTGTTACAGATAGAGAGCTCAAATATATTTTCAAATTTATTTTAAATGAAATAACTATCTTTTAAAAACTTATTTAAATGTTTGCTATAGGTCATGTGTGCTTTTTGGAAAGCCAGAAAGGCAGAAAGTGAGAAATCACCCCCATGGAGGATAGCCACGCCACAATCCCTTCTCTTCTCAGGATATTGGGCATGCATGCCCACACACCCAGTATGAGTTTCAAGCTGCCGGGTCTGGGAATTTTACCACAGTTAACCATGTGGGAGTCCGATACTTTAAACACTGAGCCACCTGTAAGCCCAACTACTTTTTTTCTACATAGAAAATACTACTACTTGGGTCAGCAGGTGGTGTGTGGTTAAGGCACTGGACTCCCATGTGGCCAATTATGGATGGAGTCCTAGATCTGGTGGCTTGCTTTCTCACTTTCTCTTTTGCTGACTTTCTGGTGAGTGCATGTGCCCTATACCAAAAAATTAAATAAATAAATATCAAATAGTCCTTAAAAAAAAAAAAAAAAAAAAAAGAAGAAGAGAAAAAAATACTACTTGGCTGGTCCTGTGGCTTGGTGGTTAAGGGAGATAAATCCTGCATGGCTGACTGTGGTTTGAATATTGGCCCTGGCAGCTTGAAAAACATGTCAGTCGCACATGTGTGTGTGTCCTATACCCTGAAAGAGTAGAGACTGGCATAACCATGCCCTGTGGGGGGTGGGAAGTGGGGCTTTCTTCTCTCTCTCTCTCTCTCATAAACACATACATTCTCTGGCAATTAAAACAAAAAGAAAATACTACTACTGAAGTAATAAGTTCCCCTCCCTTTTTCTTATCATCCTATTTGTCTTCTCTTCTCCATGGTTAAATCTTCTTCCTTGCTTTAACTTTTCTCATGATGTTTTCTTCTCAGTATAGGCCTTCTGTATTTCCACAGTGTTCACCCCTAGGAACTCTGCCCTTTTTAACCACCCCCCTGAATAACTTACTTAATTATGTGAATTTTAACATATATATTAGGGACTTCAGTATCTGTGTCTCTAATCTTGACCTCATTTACCTCTCTAGCCCTTTATAAGATTTCTCAATTTTGATCTTTTCTAAAATCTAATACTTAATATATGAGAAAGGTAATTACTATTCTCCCCAATTCACCATCTTTCTTTTTTTAATAATTAGTAGTAGTAGTACACTGATGCTATCAACTTCTGCTTTTTATCATCCTTGAAAACATCTTCAACATTTCTTTCACTTGATGTCACATTTATAAGGAAGTTGTTTTGTTTTTTCCTTCAAATTTGCTATATGGTATGGGTGCCCACTGGAGGGAGAGAGAGACAGAGAGAGATAGAGAGAACATCAGCAACCCCTCCCCCCAAAGGTTATGGCCACGCCACAATCCTGTCTCCATTCTCCTCCTGGGATTTTGGGCATGCACGCTCATGTGCCTGGCCCAATATTCAAGTCACTAGGTCTGGGACTCAAACTGAGGTCAGCCATGTGGGAGTTCAGCACCTTAACTACCAAACCACCTGTTGGCTTCCATATATATTTTTATTTAATTAACTGTTTTGTTTGTTTTTTGGAGAGTTTTTTGCTATAGGGCATGTGTGCTCGCCTGAAAGACAGAGACAGATAGAGAGACAAAAAGTGAGAAATCACCCCCCAGGGAGGATGACCATGCCGCAATCCCTTCTCCTCCATTCTCCTGTCGGGATCTTGGGCACACACGCACACGCGCCCAGCGTGAGTTTAAGCCACCGGGTCCGGGACTCGAACTGCGGTTCACTACATGGGAGTCTGGGACATAGCCATTACGCCAACTGCTGGTCTCTTTAATGAACTATTTTACTTTTTTTTAAATTCCCACCTCTCCTGAGATATTCTCCCTTTTATTTGTTTATGTGTTTGTTTAGTGTGCTATAGGGCACATGAGCTCACCAGAGAGACAGAGAGAATGGGAAAGTGAGAAATTACACCCCGGGGGGACACCACAATCCCTTCTCCATTTGCCTCTGGGGATTCTGGGGATGCCTGCATATGTGGGGTCTGCCTTAACCTCCGTGCCACAAGTTTAAATTTATTTTTTTGTTTGTTTTTGCTAGAGGGCATAAGTACATGCAGAAAGAAGAGGGGAAAAACAGGAAGAAAGAGAGAAAGAGAGAGGGAGTGTGTCCCATGTGGGGCCTGATCATACTGTAGTCTCAACTCCATTCTTCTCTCTCATCAGTGCCCAGGCATGTGTCCATATGCATGCATGTCCACATGTCCCTCAAACTACCAGGGCTGGGCTTCGAACAGTGGTCAGTCAAGTGGGACAGTATTCTCAATAACCACTGTGCTACAGGGTCAACCTTTTTCATGATACCTAAAAAAAATCTACTGGTTCTCAGTAAATGTATCTTATTTATTCTCTCTTCAGAATCTTTTTATCTTTTACAATATTCTCTCTGTGCTTCACATACAATTTTTCCTTCACATGCAACATAATAATACCAACATAACACTGAGGACTAATAATGCGGCTGACAGATAAGCTGTCAGTCATGACACTAACTTAAAAATGCTGATCTTAAGTTTTTTCGAGTTAACTGAAGCCAACCCTTCTGTTAGCTGTATCTTCCCAAAGGATTATATTGGGTTTTCAGAAAAGTCATGATGTGTTTTTCTGTTTTTCTATGCAAAAATATGTCATGACTTTACTGATGAACCAATACATAACAAGCCTTGCTGACTTGGAAATGTGCCATACAAAAAAATAAGCATTGAAAAGAACACTAAAAGTTAGTGAAGTGAAATAATTTCCAAATGTCAGTGACTAGCAGCTAGCTCAGTAGCTAAAAGTGTTTAATATACACATTAATCATATGATGCTTTATATATGAACAAATTTTTAATGGCCGAGTGAGACAAAAATAAACCTTTATTCATCTTCTAATATTTAAAATTTTCTGGACCAGATGATCATTATTGGTATGCTTGCTAAGGAATTCTGTGGTCTTTAATAAAAACGTTTTCAAAAGTTATAAACTATTAGACAACCAAGTCTGTACAGCTTGTAACATCAGAAAATAAGTTTTCTTTGTTTGCTTTGTTTTTTTGTAGAGATATTTTTGCTGTTGGGTGCATGCATTAGTCAGAGATACAGAGAGATAGAAAGTAAAAAATCATCCTCCAGGGGGCAAGGCCACACCACAATTCCTTCTCCTTTATTTTCCTGTTGGGACTTTGGGCTGAAGGCACATGCTCCCAGTGTGAGTTATGAGTTTTAAGTCACCGGGTCCAGGACTTGAACTGGTTGACTACATGAGAGTTCAGCAATGTAATCATTATGCCATTTGCTAGTCCCAAGATTTTTGTTTTGATAAGACTTTAAAAGATTTTTTAAAAATATCCCTAAGTTTTCTGAATCCTCCCAACATACTTCATATTATTTAACAAAGTTTTCTTGAAAAAAGAGTATCAACTCACCAAGCACAGTACATATCTCCCTGTTGGAGCTGACGTGATAAAAATGCAGTGCATAAGACAAGAGCACTTTTTTCATCACCTTCAGATTCTAAGTTACAGATCATTTCTAGAGCATCTTTGCAATCGACTTCTGAAATCTACAAAAAAGGAAAAAGAAATATGCCATAAAATGGTTTTATTCTAGAAGATAGATAAATATACATATATAATGCTTTAAATTGTTCACTAAATGTTTACAGATCATTTCATCATTAAAATGTTATTTACATATTATCACATCATAATTTGTCATTATTAGGTATTATTAGGTTACAGACTGGGTTGCAGTTAAAATCTTTTTTCATAGCCAGTACAAAACATAGTAATTCTGAGAAAATATTAAGGAATATGTGGAAACCAACTATTTTCAGTAATTTATAACCATTCACTTATATATAAATAAATAATGGATGATTATAAGAACTTTCCATTCATTAAATCGGAACTATGATACTAAAAGAAAAGGGGCAGCCCTTTTATTTTTCTCCCTTTTATCTACTGATTTCAACAAGAATTACAGTTGGTAGAAAGACAAAAAAGTACATACTGGATATAGAATAATAAACTAATTGTCGGTTAATATGAGGGGAATATATAAGATGAAACCTTTTATGTAGTTGTACTGCTTTTAAAAATAAGCTAATAACCTCAATTTTTTATAAAAGCTCCACTAATATTGTTTTCCTATAGATTTCTTCTATATTAAAGGTTGTCAATAGACATTGCATGTATGTGTAATCTAGACAAAGACAAATTGCTTCCTTTCACAACTCATTCACATTTATTACTTATTTTTAATTAAAAATTACCACTTAATTACAATTACAGTTAAACATAATTTACCCATGATCTCTACAAGCATTTACTATAAGACAAAGATGGGACAAACAGCATACAATCATGAATCACCAGTGTTCCAGAGATTAGAAAGATGAACTCCATCATGATACAAGTGACGAAAGGCAAAAAAGAAGAAACCAAGACTAAACACAGACCATTAGCACCCTGTATCACAGAGCATGCCCCTCCTAGCAGATCTCTCTCTCCCTACTCATCAAGTACTGAGTAAACAAAATGTATTGTGCTTAAGATTGAACAAGTACCGGGACCAGCAGTTAGCGTAACAGCTATGTTATAGCAAAAACCTCTCAAAAAAAAAAAAAAAAAAAAAAAAAGATTGAACAAGTGAAGGATAAAGATAATCTTGGAGTCAATCTTTGATGAGAATATAGGTTGCACGGCAATTAAGAAGTTTAATTTAAAACACTTATATGGGTTAGAAAACACTAAGACAAGAAAGTACCAAACTGTATGTGTTTAAAAATTAATTATTATTGTTATTTTTTTTTGGAGAGGTTTTTGTTATAGGGCGCGTGCGCTTGCCAGACAGAGAGAGATAGAGAGACAGAAAGTGAGAAATCACCCCCCAGGGGGGATGGTCACACCGCAATCCCTTCTCCATTCTCCTCTCGGGATCTTGGGCACGCAAGCACATGCACCTGGCATGAGTTTAAGCCACCAGGTCCGGGTCTTGAACCATGGTTGACTACATGGGAGTCCAGTGACATAGCCATTACGCTAACTGCTGGTCCCTAAAATTAATAATTTCTTAAGGGAAGGCTTAAAACTGACATCTAGGGGCCACCAAGTAGTGCTTAAGGCACTGGACTTCCACATGGTCAACTGAGGTTCGAGTCCCAGACCTGGAGTCTTGAAAATCACTCTGGGCGCATGTGCGTGTGTGCCTGAAATCCCAGGAGGAGAACGGAGGAGAAAGGACTGAGGCATTGCCATCCCCTCTAGGAGTTGCTTTCTCACTTTCCTTCTCAGTTTCTGTCTCTTTTTACATAGGATACTTGCCCTTGCTAGAGGGCAAGTAAAAACTTAAAAAAAAAAAAAAGAAAAGAAAAGAAAAAAGAAAAGAGAGAGAGAGTTTGAAACCTGTCTTGGTATCTCTTGTAACAAATCTTTACCTATAAGCAATCCCATTTAAGTAAATATCTATATCTATCTGTCTATCTCAATTTCTATATATCTACACACACATATTTAAAAGCATATGCATATGTTAAGTAGATTTTCAGACATTTTATGTCTACTATTTAATCATACTATCCACTCGATAGGTATTACCATTAATATTTTATTTGTAATGACTGTGGGATTCATACAAGTTGTGTACTTTGCCAAAGTCACAAGAGCCACAAATTGAATCATGCTGGTCTGACATCAAAGACCTAAGATCTTTCTATTTCGTCATATTATCTTTAAAAAATCACCAAGCACAGTACATATCTCCCTGTTGGACTCATCAGACAGACAGACAGACACACACACACACACACACACACACACACACAGGGAGAGGTAATAAGCACCCTCTGTGGGATGTGGTCACACTGCAGTCCCTTTTCCATTTCTCCAATCGTTTAAGATTTGGGTACACATGCCCAAGTGCCCAACATGTTTTTCAAGGTGCTGGGTCTGGGACTCAAACTGCAAAGTCATCCATGTGGGATCCAGCTCCCTTAACCATGAGGCAATGGGCTGGCCCCACGTTATCTTTTGTTAATAGTTGCTTGTTTACCAGGCACATCCATGCAGACAAATGTTCAATATGTGGACCTATGAGATTTTTAAATATTTTGCTCTTTTTGATAAAATGTTAATAACAGTAATAATAGCTACTATTTATTGTACCAGTTTCTTCACAAACAGCACTGTTAATCTGCAAAATAGCTTGCCTTATAGATACAACCATTATTTTATAGAGAAAGGGCTCAGAGGTTAAGTTACTCGTTCAAAGTTACACTTACTAGCAGATTTCAACCCAGTCTCATGGTCTGTGCTCTTTCCAGAATTCCACATGCATAAACATATTGAGGACAAAATAAGTATTTTTACTATTTTGGGTTTAATAAAAAAATCCTCGGAAGTCTCATTTATTTGAAACCTGATCATTTTTTTTTTGTTTTCTTCTAAAACCTAAGCTATTCTGTTATATACTCATATGATACCAAATGTGTACATTATATATAAGGAAAGAAACTTATTTTCCCAATGATATTATCTTACTTACTTACTCATTAATATATAAAGATAAGCATTTGTAAGTATGTGTAATTGCCTGTGTGTGTGTGTGTGTGTGTGTGTGTGTGTATGTGTGTATACAGATATATACACAAACTATAAAGTCATCTATGTGGGATCCTAAGTTTTCTGAATCCTCCCAACATACTTCATATTATTTAACAAAGTTTTCTTGAAAAAAGAGTATCAACTCACCAAGCACAGTACATATCTCCCTGTTGGAGCTGACGTGATAAAAATGCAGTGCATAAGACAAGAGCACTTTTTTCATCACCTTCAGATTCTAAGTTACAGATCATTTCTAGAGCATCTTTGCAATCGACTTCTGAAATCTACAAAAAAGGAAAAAGAAATATGCCATAAAATGGTTTTATTCTAGAAGATAGATAAATATACATATATAATGCTTTAAATTGTTCACTAAATGTTTACAGATCATTTCATCATTAAAATGTTATTTACATATTATCACATCATAATTTGTCATTATTAGGTATTATTAGGTTACAGACTGGGTTGCAGTTAAAATCTTTTTTCATAGCCAGTACAAAACATAGTAATTCTGAGAAAATATTAAGGAATATGTGGAAACCAACTATTTTCAGTAATTTATAACCATTCACTTATATATAAATAAATAATGGATGATTATAAGAACTTTCCATTCATTAAATCGGAACTATGATACTAAAAGAAAAGGGGCAGCCCTTTTATTTTTCTCCCTTTTATCTACTGATTTCAACAAGAATTACAGTTGGTAGAAAGACAAAAAAGTACATACTGGATATAGAATAATAAACTAATTGTCGGTTAATATGAGGGGAATATATAAGATGAAACCTTTTATGTAGTTGTACTGCTTTTAAAAATAAGCTAATAACCTCAATTTTTTATAAAAGCTCCACTAATATTGTTTTCCTATAGATTTCTTCTATATTAAAGGTTGTCAATAGACATTGCATGTATGTGTAATCTAGACAAAGACAAATTGCTTCCTTTCACAACTCATTCACATTTATTACTTATTTTTAATTAAAAATTACCACTTAATTACAATTACAGTTAAACATAATTTACCCATGATCTCTACAAGCATTTACTATAAGACAAAGATGGGACAAACAGCATACAATCATGAATCACCAGTGTTCCAGAGATTAGAAAGATGAACTCCATCATGATACAAGTGACGAAAGGCAAAAAAGAAGAAACCAAGACTAAACACAGACCATTAGCACCCTGTATCACAGAGCATGCCCCTCCTAGCAGATCTCTCTCTCCCTACTCATCAAGTACTGAGTAAACAAAATGTATTGTGCTTAAGATTGAACAAGTACCGGGACCAGCAGTTAGCGTAACAGCTATGTAGCTGGACTCCCACGTAGTCGACCGCGGTTCACGTCCCGGACCCGGTGGCTTAAACTCACGCCAGGCTCGTGTGCATGCGTGCCCAGGATCCCAAGAGGAGAATGGAGGAGAAGTGATTGCGGCGTGGCCATCTGCCTGGGGGATGATTTCTCGCTTTCTATCTCTCTGTCTCTCTCTGTCTTTCTGGCAAGCGAACGTGCCCTATAGCAAAAACCTCTCAAAAAAGAAAAAAGAGTGAGAGTGAGATTTGAGCCAAGCCTTTGAGGTTTCCAGATCGTCAGACTCGAGATTAAATACCTCCTGCCATCATCAAGATGTAGTTAGAAAGAGCCCCTTCTTTCAGACATTTGTATTGCGTCGCTACAATGAACTTTACGGTGAAAAGTGGTAGGGGTCCTACCGGCACCAGCCAGGGCACCACC